AAATCACACCAACAAAATGAAGCAACTTGAAAGACCATAACAGTTGTTACAATCTGTTGGAATTTCAAGTATGATAACTTACTTGCATATGTCATCTTCTGGTTCTTCAAGCCCAAATCTTTCATCAAATGTAAGTTGTATCCATACATTTTCCTCTGCTGCTACTAATCTCCATACCAAGACTGTATTTCTTGGATAAGTATGAGGAAACTTTGGGCTGTGAATACTTCCATTAGTGGACACAGTAATAATTCTCTCATGCTGGGGAGCTTGTACTCCTAAAACAAAAACATAGGTATACACTTACATTGAGAACAGACATTTTAAAAATTATAGGTTTCAAAATAAATGTTTTTTTAATCATCCACATTTTACCCAAACAAGTGTTGGATATGCTTCATAAAATATAAATTAAGTACTACTCTCTTCAGAATTTAACCAGAAAAAAGAGATTATTTTAACATTCTTGAGTAAAAACCTGTGTATAGGTGTACTTCAGAGAACAAAGCAAATTAGTCATTTTAATCAAATTACCAAAATTTCAAACAACCAATACTTTTGAATTCCTAAAATTGCAATAAAATTAAGACCATAATCTCCAACTTATCAAATACGAATAATATTAGAACGAAAAGAAGTGCGATATATAACTAGTTTTAAAAACACAAATTATTATTGAACTCCCCCTAATCATGATTAGGTTAGATAACTTAGAGTTCATCAAAATGTACATTATCTGCCTGAGCCTAAACTAATAGGGTGAGCCCTTAAAAGAAGCTGGGCCCTTCCTAAATTCAGAGAAATTCAAAGTGTAAGAGAGATTCAACAGCAGGTTGATGCTTTATTGCTGGCACTGAACACGGAGGAGGTGACATGCCCAGGATTGTGGGAAGCCTCCAAAAGCCGAAGACAGGCTAAGGCTGACAGCTAGCAAGGAAATGGGGCCTCAGTCCTCTAACCTCAGGAACCTGAAGAAACTTGGAAGTAGACTCTTCTCCACAACCCCCAGAAAGAATCAAGTCTGGCTGACACCTTGATTTTAGCCTCTGAGCAAGAACCTAGTCACAGGATGCCCAGAATTCTGACCCATAGAGCTAAGATGAAATAAAGTGAGTTTTAAATGGCCAAATTTATGATAATTTCTTACATATTATTAGAAATGAATACATCTTCTATTGGGCACAAAGCTGTTCGGATGGCAAGTTATTCCTTTTTGCCTCCATTCTTCAACAGCAATCAGAGTACTAGCGTGTACAATAACTGCAACAACTTTTCATTTAATATTATGTTAGTCAAAATACATGATTGAACTCTGGTAAAATGCAATTTAAGAATACTGCTCTAAGAAACTCCTTGAATTTAAAAGACAATGTCAAGAGTCATGTATTAGAAGGGTCATGTTATTAAGGTTAAAGAATAACCTTTTTGATTGTTAAAACGCCCAAAATAATTTTAATAAGTTTGTGTATGATTCCTGAAGCAGTATTTTCATCCTCATACATAGCTGTTTTAACAATCAGTTTGGTAAGTATTTTTTTATATTTTCTAACCTAGAAATAGGGAGACAAGGTAAAGACATATATAATGTCCTTTGACAATACCTAGTACACATTATGGGGAAGATGATCATATTAGTAAAATATGCTTTAAGTACCTAAATTTGCGCCTAACAGTGCTCAGCAGTAAGTAACCTACATAGAAATACATTCTCTCCTAAATTGGATGCTAATTGTTGATACAGCTGTTGGCTATATTAACATATATGAAATGATCAATAACTCCTCTATGCACATAATTTAGCACCAGTATATCTCTTAGGAAGACATAAGATCTATCAAGTTAGATGATATCTTCCCTATAGAAAATAATGCTAATTTACTATTAAAATTAAATTAATGAATTGTTTTCAAAGCTTTCTTTCAAAAATGGGCTCTGGCCGGGTAGCTAGGTCACTTAGAGTGTTGTCCTGAAATGGCAAGGTTGAGAGTTTGAACCGTGGTTAGGGCATACAAGAATCAACCAATAAATGCATGAATAAGTCAAATAACAAATCTCTCTCTCTCTCTCTCTTCCTATCTCTCTAAAATTAATAAATGTTAAAAATTTAAATGGAAATGAGATATTTTCCCACTCCTTAAATTTTATTCCAATAATCTACACATAGCAGTAGCTTATATCAAGGATTCTTCTTTTTTTAACTAATATTTCTAATAAGTTAATTTTTTTCAATCAGATTTACTAATATTTACCCCATTTTGCCTCAAAGCAAATGCCTTATATCTCAAGGCACTCTTTACAAATACAGCAACGTTTACTCTTTCATATATAATCTAGAAAACTAAGTGGTTATTAAAAGATTTGAATCTATTTTTATATCTCTAGTCAAAACAGCTCATAGATAAAAGGTGTATACTTAAATTATTAACATTTTTCTTTTCTTTATAATTCACAATTCTGCTAAACTATAACTAAACATAATTCATAGACTAAAAAGCTAAGCCTTATTTGTGCTAAGCATTGTAAATTTCCTAAGTTAAATTGCTGCTCCCAAAAATTCATCTCAAAATACAGTGAGGTTTGCCACCAAACACATATGATTTATATAAATCTCAACTACTACCTCTATAATCAAAATGAAAAAAGCAACAAACAGTAAGTTCTGCCAAATTAAGACTCTGCATTTACCCCTGCTATTTAAAAATATCATTTTTCCAAAGATATAACTTACTGGTATTTTAGGAATAAGATAAGTGTATATTTTGTAACTATTTTATCGAATAGCTTCTTTCCTAGTCAATAATGGTCCACACAAAAAAGTACTAATGAAATAAAACAATTGCTTGTAGTCAAATCAAGACAATATTTCCAAGATACTCCATTCAATGTATTCTAAACAAGAATAAATTAAACATTATAGATGAATTTAGCATGGAAAATGAAAATGTTCAGAAACACTGAATTTTTTAAATTATAAGTATACATCATTTCATATTATCCTGTACAACCCCTTAAGGTATATGTAATAAAACTAAAATGAGAGAGAAACCAAGATGGCGGCATAGGTAAACACCAGGAAATTGCTGCCTCCCACAACAACTTCAAAAATACAATGAAAAGACAAAACGGACATCCTCCAGAACTATAGGAAGGCTGGCTGAGTGGAAATTCTACAACTAGAAGGAAAGAAAAGCACACTGAGAGCCAGAGGAGCTGCGGAAGTAA